AAAAACAAAATTTCGCTGAACAAATAAATTCATCATGAGCTCTGCTGCTTTTCGGGGCTCACAACTCTGTCACTGTGTTTTCAAGCATGGGAGTCACACGTACGGAGCTCCGATCCTCCTTGCAGCTGTAGGCTCCTCGCTTCCATGGGAAATTAAGAATTTGTGGTTCATATGCAAATACAGATTACTCTGCCAGTTTATATATTTGTCATTCGAGAAGAGTAGCCCCGTAGGTCTATTTGTTCTCTGTTGTCAGGGCCTATAAGAAAGGCTCCCTTCTGAATTGACCCAGCCAAAATGAGAAAAAGGAAAAAGTCCACATTACATCCCTTAACTTTTGTGAAAGTCTGTTTTTCCTTTCGGAACTCTAAAACCGGGTAAATCACCTCCCTGAACTTTTAAAACCGTTAGTTCTACCTCACTGACAGGCTATAAGCGGTTTTCAAAAGCAGATTTGTCTTTTTATTTTTTATTTATTTCGGCTGAATCTTTGAAAAAACATAGTAAATCATAGAAAAATCATAAAATGGAAAATCTAACTTTGTTGGACTCCACATGAGTAGATCTATACAGTGAACATATAATATAGTATGTTTTAGTACAAATTGTTTGCTGTAGCTTTAGATCTATGCTTTTCAATAATTAATTTATTATAGCTGCAGTTTCTATGATCTAATTGTGGTGAAATTTTTATAGTGGGTTAATTAGTGTATGCTTGAACTATAGTAAAAATGGCATACTCATTGGATCACATATAACTTAGTTATAGATTTATTTAGGTGTATGCTTGTTAAAAAGTATTTATAAATCTATAACTAATTAAGTTATAATTCACACATGAGGAAATTTCATGCCTATATATGTTAACATGCAGCTCGCCGACCGACTGAGATGCCAATGCCATGCAATTGGAACAGTGACCATGTATAATATATCCTGCTGAATTGACCCGGCCCAGTTAAAACGCATCTCTGTTGCTGGACCACATATATAAACTGTTTTGGGCTTCTGGCTGCGATATACTATACATGGTCACTGTTCATCATGGGAGGCTGAGCAGTGGGCTTGTATATGAGTTCACTCTGTGTAGCCTACAGCTATTCTTGGCCCAGGAAGAAGAAAGTGCACAGGTCCAAGCATCAATTGGGCCGACCCCCTAACAGATCTTATAATACTTTCTTCCATTTTGTGCTGCCGAAACCACGAATCAGTCCACACCTTTCAAGCTGCCAATAAATTTTCCGTCTTGCCCCTAAAAAAAATAAATTTTCCTTCTTGTTGTAAACAAAAACTAGTTTACTAGTCCGTATTTTAATAATCTACCCAATTTTATACGTACGTGCAAACAGATTTTTCACTTTGCACCACCCTACCGTACGTTTACCTACGGCTACGGCTTTACTAAGCTTTGTGGTCATCGCTCTAGCTTCTTCCTTGTTACCGCATTTAACTTCCGAATTTCTAGGGCTATTGATTTATGCTATTATTACTATTAATTATTATGGTTGCATGTGGAAGATGCGAACAAAGAAATTCACGTGAAGATACGCATACGATGGAGGGCAGGCATGCAGCGCGTGTAATGTAATTTGTCCTAGCTAACTGCAGAAGGCTGACGATGAGACGGCATGAAACGGGCCGGGCTGAATTCCATTTATGGTCATAAAGCGAGACTGTGGCCCAAAGCAGAAAGCATAACTCAGTCCGCGGTGTCTCAGAGATCGCTGTCATACTCAGTCCTACGGAGTCTGTTGCATTTGGCTTTCCTCCTGCTGTAATTTCTCATGCCTGGTCTTTATATATATCGATCGTGTTTACTCTGTACGGGAATTTGTAGGGAGAGATCCCAACATATCTTTAGCGGTGGTTAGGTTAAAATAGGTTTTAAAGAGACTAGTTTAGATAAAACTGCATATTCAAACAAAACAACTCCTGTGTGATCGACTTGTACGTAAATATGGTACCCTACCTTTAAGATCAGAAAGGCAGCAACTTTACGACCAGTTGCAGATAATAAAACCTCGTCCTGATTTCCCCGAACATCAGCACAGCGCAACAATTCTCCACCGAACACTAGGGCTTAGTGATTTGTTATACTAGATGATACCGGTTGTTTCGGGAATTATATTTTGTATATTTGAAAATTTTTACGTAGGAGAATTAATAGGTACTATCTAAACAAAAACATCATAGTGCGTTGCCATCGAATTTTAGGGATAAATTTAGATTAACAATGAATAATGGTGTGGATATGACATAGTAACAACCATTTTATTGGTCCACTTTTTAAAAGACCACGGTAAAAACTTATCAAGATCTAGGTAAAAAATAGGACATGAAAAAATAAACATAGTAGGAATGTCCGTTATTGCGGTTGTTAGTTGTTTCCTTTCGTTGAAAATGCACCGAGAGACATGTCATAGGACGGAACGCTGGAATCATGGAGCATGTGCTTGTGCCAAGCTAACAAATATTTCCGAGGAGAAATAGGGGCAGTTAGTGGAGGCCACTGGCGGAGCCACCCTAGCGGCGGGGTGGGGCGGCCGCCCCAGCTACCGGCGAGCTCGTCCCAGACCCCCGGACCCCTGCTTCTTCCTTAAACTCAGGTCCCCGGCGGCGAGGAGTCGCAAGCACGAGCAGAGCGACCTGCGCGATGCTACACGGAGGAAGAAACCGGAAGATGGGCTTTTTTCTTCACATTGTTCAGCCCAATAGAGGTGAGAGGCCTGCCCACCGTCGCACACTGCTTCCCTAAGCCCAATTGGCAACCAGTGGATTCGTTCCCCAATTCCCCAATTTGCAGCGACGCACCGACGCCCTAGGCGAGGTCGCGACTCGCGAGGAGTTGGTCGCCGCCCGCCGCCCACTGGCTAACAGGGCACCGCGCCACACGGACGCAGAGTGCCAGAGCGGCCACTCGCCCGCCACCACCCGCCGCTCGACACACCGGCTCGCCACCAGGCCCTCCCGGCGCCGCCCGGCGTCCCCGCCCGCCTCCTAGCGCTGTTGGCTTCTACTACTCTGCTCCGATGGAGGGAGGAGAGGAGGAGGTCCATCACTATGAGGGTGAAGGTGTACATGGATTAAGTGATCAAGAACTTTTAGTTTATTCTTCAAATTTGAGGTATGTGAACATACCATTTGTGATTGCAGCGTTTTTGTAATAATTGGGGTGATTGTAGTATGTGAATTTTGTGTGATTGTAGTATGTTAATAAAGTGCGATGTGAATGCGGTGCCTTTTGGTTCATTTTGTCGTTGCAATTCGTCCCAGCTATAATTTTTTTCTGGCTCCGTCATTGCTGCCGGACCTATTGTACTTTATATCGTTTATTATGCCTAAGAACTAGTTTGGGTTCTATGGACCAGTAAACTAACAACTAGTTAGGGCTTTGGTTAATTATTAGACCAACCACTAGTCCAACTGTTTAGATTCTCAAGAGCTAAACTTTAGGCAACTAGTTATTAGTCCATGGGATAAAAAGGCCCTAAACATGAACTATGATCCATCTGTTTTCTTTTTTCTTAAAAAAAAGTTGTTGCATACCGTAAAAAAGGAATCGATCGACACGTGGACAGCTCTCCTCCATTCGTTTCATGTCCCTCTCTCATCGTATCTTCCGCCTTCCGGCGCTCAGCCTCCACGGACGGATTACTACCGTACGTTCGTGTTTCCTGTCGAAGCTTCTTTCCTCGACATCCTGAATTCCTGATACAGAGCCGATCGATCAGCATGCCAGCATCACGCCGCGGCAGCGGAGAGGAGACCACAGCAATCGTAGTCACGCGGTTGTTGGGGTCGAAGTCCTCGGCGGAAGGAGATATCGAAGAGTGGATGGCGTCCTGCGTCCAGGAGTAGACGGCCGGCGAGCGCCAGATTACGGATCTCCCGCATGCTAGCCCCTGGTGTATCATCCTCCGGGCTCCAGTTCCCCCTCCATTCTCCAACACACCCTCCATTCTTCACCTCCCGCTCCGCGACCGCAACCATGCCCATGCCCATGCCTCACGCGCATCTCCCTGTCCCGGTCGTGGCCGCTGCCCCCACAGCATCGCCTTCCTCGGTTTTTATTTTATAGAAGGAAGACTGGATTGTCCGTTCAAACGCGGAGCTGCTGGGTCCAGCGCGTTGGGTGGGCCAGCGCTTCAAATGGTGCAGGAGGTGAAACACAAGAGTCTGAGGTAGTGGTGAAGGAGGTGAAGCCCAAGAGGCACATAATGGCGTGTGGCTTCGAGAATGTTTCCGATTCGCTTTGATAAACAGGAAGGAGATTGCTGACTTAATAGGATGATGACGTGGCTTCATGAGATTGTAGAGAAATATGCCAGTGGGGATCTCCTATTTAGGTATAGAAGATAGGAGATACGAGATACGAGATATGTAGTGAAATGTAAAATCCTCGTATAGACATCAAACAGCACCATGTAAACTTTATATATCCAATAAAAGAATAGAAGCAACTTTACTTCCATTTTTGAGGAAAGCAATGTAGTATTAACGAAACCACACTTAGAGCATCTCCAAGAGTTTTCTAGATCTCTTCCTAATCCTTGGTTTTTAGCCAGATAAGAAAAAACCTCTCTCCAACAACTCCTAATTCATCCTCCTAATCTTTTAGAACTTGGGAAAAGTCACCATGTTCCGCATAAAGTTATGCGCTTCCGAGTGGCGCCTATCTTCTCTCTCCCGCGTGTGTTTGTCGACCAATCTAAAGGTTGAAGGTCGTGGAAAGAATAAATAGTAGTAAATGGTTCCTGATGCAAATGTACAAGAGAGAGAATATATATAAAAGTGGTTAGGATAATTTAGAAATAATATATGATTTCTGATGTAAAATTATCTTCTATATTTTAGGAGTGGATTATTAGAAACTCTTGGAGATGGTCTTCTTTATTCCTTCAAATACTTTTTTAGGAGTCGTAAACCTTCATGTTTTTAGAAAGAAAATATTGGGTACTATTGGAGATGCTTTTAGGCAAATATCGGTCTATTTTATCATGTCATCCTATCCATTTGCAAGCTACTTTGATAATTTCATTACCTTCATGAGCAAGATCGCGCCCTTGGTTACGAGCTTGTACACAGGCTTCTAAAGCCACACGATTAGCTGCTGCACCAAATGCATTTCCCCAAGGATGTCCTAAAGTTCCTCCACCAAATTGTAATACAGAATCATCTCCAAAGATTTCGGTCCGAGTTGGCATATGCCAAACATGAATATCCCCTGAAGCCACCGGTATAACACCTAGCATGGATGCCCAGTCCTGAGTGAAAAAGATACCGCAAGAATGATCTTTTTCAATAAAATCATTGCGCAATAAATCAACAAAACCTAAAGTTATTTCGCGTTCCCCTTCTAACTTACCTACTACTGTACCGGAGTGGATATGATCTCCCCCCGACATACGTAATGCTTTAGCTAATACACAGAAATGCATACCATGATTTTTGTGTCTATCAATAACCGCATGCATTGCTCGGTGAATGTGAAGAAGTGGGTCGTTGTCACGGCAATAATGAGACAAAGTAATATTTACGGTGAATCCTCCAGTTAAGAAGTCATGCATTACAATAGGAACCCCTAATTCCTTTGCAAATACAGCTCTCTTAATCATTTCTTCAGCCCCGAAGCTCCAACGAGATCCTACCACACCTACGGTGACCCCCAGCTATCCCTCCCCCATACCCCAACCACCACCATGTCCATGTTCACCCCGCCCCAACCTGGCCGGCCGCCTCCACCATGGCCATGTTCTAATGTCCCGCCTCTAGAAATCATTTAAAAGAGGCAGACAACTTAAGAAATTCACCTCTAGAATTAGTTACATTCAAAAATAATTCATAATTTTTTCATATGAACATGGTCGAACACGAACTTTATGTCAAAGCTATAGCTCTCGACACGATATGCAACTTTATATTTGAGAAGTTTGTTACTTGAAACCATTTAGAGTCCCAAAATATTGGTTTATGTGCTTTGAGTTTGAAATTTAGAATTTAAATGTTTCAGGAAATCTCAGATTTTGACATGGTACATAGTAATGTTGTAGTCCTCAATACAATCTAAAACCTTATATTTTAAAATATTTGGAATTAACGTTGTTTAGATTCCCAAATATCTATTGTAAGTTCGCAAAAAAATATGATGATTTTTCTAAGATATATTAATCATATCAAATCATATTTTTTTGCGGAATTAAATGAAAATAATTTTTATATGAAAATTATAGATCTCGACGAGATCTACAACTTTCTAGTTTTGAGTTTTTTCATTTGAAGTCGTTAAGATGCTCAAAAAAAATTAATAACATATTTGAACTTAAGGGCATTTTCGTCTTTTCACACCTGCAGTTTGACGGCGTTAGAGCCTGAACTGACGGAAGTGGCATGGAGGACCCGAAAAAGTTGGAGTAGTGGCGCTGAAGACCGCTGAATTTTTCTAGGGGCACATAAGGGATTACGATCTTTTATAATGGCACAGAGGGAAAAGTCTCACCACCACCGTCAACCGCATCACCCAATCCTTCCCGCTGTCACGAGAACCACGGCGCATCCGCGAGACGGTCTCCCCTCCCATGGAACGCGCCGCAGTGTATCCACCCACCGGCATCCATGGACATGGAGACGGATCCCACTCCTCCTGCGGTAGGTCGCGCTCAACTCTCTTGTACGTGCGCTGCCCGCTGGACACACTTCCTCTATTTGGTTTAACCCAGGAGCAAGAAACGACGATGGTCAGCCCTGCGGGTCTGGATGCACTCTGAGTCCCATCCCTCTGACTCTCAATTTTTTCCCCAACTGCGTTCCTGCCTCCTCAATTTCTGAGGCAACACGTTCCAGGTACTGATTACTCGTTCCTGTCTCATCCTTTCCTAATTTTGCTACAACCGGCTGGATTTCTAGACTTGCAGTACTCATCTAATTTCTCTAGCAATGTCGTGGAGAGTAATAGGCGCGGAATCTCTGCTCAGCGGCGACTATGCTGTGATGCTGAACCCCAACAACGGCGTCCCCTTCCGCTTCCTCGGCCACCACTACTTGCACTGACTTTCCCTCCGTTCTTTGTCAATCTCTACTACCGTTAATGTCAATCTGTATTTATATGTGTTATATATTGCAAGAGCATGTGATTTTCATATGTAAATCAAAACCGTTTTATCCTCCCGTGTATGCACTTTTATGCCTAATAAATTTAACCTACATGCTAGATAACGTACACGCACCCTTTTATCCTGTTTGGCTACTACTGTTAATGTCAATCTGTATTTATATGTGTTATATATCTGCGAATGCGAGCTCGAAAAATGTAAGTTGAGTCTCTGTGTGTATTATTCTTGGTTTGTGATTGGCGTATTATTATTGGTTTATGTATTTTTTAGTTCTTATTAGATAAAGGATAAAAATCCGGCTTCATCTACACATGGTAGAATGAGGCACATGTCTTTTTTAGTTACTTGGTCGAAGGACATAATGATAAGTTGATAACAACATTAATGTGTGCTGATCTACCGTCGAAAAATGTAAGTTGAATCTCTATGTGTATTATTCTTGGTTTATGATTGGCGTATTATTATTGGTTTGTTTGTTTTAGTTTCTATTAGATAAAGGATAAAAAATCCGGCTTCATCTACACATGGTATGATCAGGCACTTGTCTTTTTTAGTTGCTTGGTGAAAGAACATAATGAAAGTTGATGACAACATTAATGTGTGCTGAATCAGGCACTTGTCTTTTTTAGTTGCTTGGTGAAAGGACGTAGTGATAAGTTGATAACAACATTAACGTACGTGTGCTGATCTACAGTATGAGATATCAAAGTCGACGAAGAGCAAGTCCACCCAATATTAGTCTCTAGGTTTATCAAGTCATCATGATGTTTCTATGGTGCCAAATGGGCAGATATTCGACAGGTGAGATTTGGACATTGATATATGAGTTCAGGTAAAGAGTTATTTTTTATCTTTGTTTGTTTACAAAAGAACATAAATGAGTTGTTATTCACAATTCAAGTTGCATACTAAGAATTTGGTCTTTTAGCAATTCATTTTTGGGCATGGAAGCCATTCTGGTTCTTATTGTGCTTTGCTACTCTGTGCAGTTCACTGGAGAAAGACCATCACATTCCAAGTTGGATCAGGACAGGTATTAAATTATGCATGTTGGGTTGCTGCTCAAGTTCTGAAATATACCTCAAATTGGAGTTTGTGATTCAACGAAAACTGATTATAATATAAAAAAACCTCCTATGTTTGCAGTGCTCGACTTAATCTTTGTTAATGCTAAATACAAGGAAATTTTGAAAAGAAGGGTGAATGGGTGATTAAGAAGCTTTGAGATGTGTTTCTAAGTTTATTTAGTAGCTCACATCTATCTGGCAGCATCAGGTGATTAAGGGGCTTGATGAAGGGATTTTGTCAATGAAGGTTGGAGGATACGTCGGTTGCACATACCTGGTCCTGTAAGTAGTACAAACCGACCTTAACTATATATATAGCAGTCTAAAAAAGAAGAGCTTCGTGATCTAAAGATTTGAACAAGACAGTGATGATTTCCTTTCCTGATCATGAACAATTAGTGTTTCCTAAGGGTCTTACTTCAGCTCCAAGGAGGCAAAGAGTACCTCGTAGCAGCCCCATAATATTTAAAGTCAATTAACTGTACATACCAGGTCTGGCAGGATTGGTTGGAGGGCAACCTCAATTTTGTAGTAATAGAATGGATTCAGATTGCAGACTGATCATGAGAGGTGAAATCTACTTGTTCATCGCACAATTCCTCTCTAAAATCCAAAGGTTTTTCTCTCTGAGGTCATCAAAATTCTTTGAAATAAATGGATTTCTGATCCAATTACGTGAGATCCCTTATGATGGCAGTTTGGTTCAGAATCAACTAGCTACGCGACCACTATACCAGGAGCTTTACTATTACCTTGTGCAATTTTGACAAAATGAAAATATACATGCAAGTGATCTTGAATGTCATGACATTCAAGCGTAGTGCCAAACTCTCTTTAGTCTTCACTGCATGGTCAGATCAGCAGATGCACCAGTAGCATTTGCATGATAGATATGTGACCACTATCTGTTTCCATCAGTCGATGCAACAGTGCACTTCTCTATAATAATCTCTAAACCTATTATCTATACTCAGAATTGTAATGTGTGGCACTTCCATTATGTTGTCCTGGTATTTGTGATTGGTTGATAAGTTTTATCATTGGTTTTGTATTGCCTTTTGGTTGCAGGAAAAAGGCATCAAAGGGTTTGAGAGAATATGCAAGTAAATGTCTCTTTCACATGTTGAAGTAAGAAAGAGGAAGAAAAAGGGAGAAGAAAGGATAGGAAGAAGCAAGCCCCTTAAATCCCATTCTTTATATCCTCTACCGAGCAATATCTTGTTGTTGCAAGGATGCAATTACCCAAGAAAATAAGTGATGCCATATTTGTTTTTGAATATTACTTACATTTCAATAAACAAGTAGTTATTCTAAATTTGGATATAAATCTACGAAAAAGTATGATAGAAGAAATTATTTTTATAACACTTTTTTATTTCAAAGATTTTTTTAGGCACGTGCGGGCTGCACGTGCATGGCTACCAGTAAAAGGAAACATCCACTTTCAATGGAAAGTTGCATTCTATAGTTTTATAGACATTTAGCATCATTACTCATAAAGTGTTGATAATTGTGCTAAGAGAGTTTCACCACCATAAAACTCACTTCTCCCTTCTTATAAGTGTTGACATTTCATCAAAAATACCTATGTATTAAATGCAGATGAAACACTTATGGAACTCACACTGAGACTGACCTTAATATATCTGTCTCTAAAATATTTGTTATACAAGTGTGGAGCCCTGGACCATTGTCACGCGCGGGCTGTTTGGAATGCTTAACGACAATGGCATCGAGGAACGAAAACTAACAAATCTTCTGTGACTATCAGCTGTGTCGGATGGTAGAGGCTGGAACCTTGATCCATTATTATCTAAAAAAGTAGCAAGTAGAAGAAGATGTGTTGTTACAACAACCATAAAGGCAATCGACGAGAGTGGCAGAAAAATGGTGATTCATTTGTTTAAAAGTCACTGATGTCGACGATCTTCCAGATGGCATTGGCATAAGTCGCAGCTGTAGGGAAAACCCCGACATGCGTTCCATCCTTGACATTGCCCCCCAGTCCGTTGAGGGTGGTGGTGATGTCTTTCAGCACTCTAACTTCACGAAAGCCACCGGCCAGCTCTTCGCCCTCCGTCCACAACATTGAGATAGTCACATGCTCGTCGCCTTTGTAAGGATGCAAGTACACCTGGTTACATTTTCAAGATCTAAGGTGTATATGGTACTATCTAGCGCTGTATGTATGTCAAGTGTGTGTGTGTGTTTATATATAGTTATGTATGTATGTGTGTGTATATATAGGGAAATGAGAGAGAGAGAGAGAGAGAGAGAGAGAGAGAGAGAGAGAGAGAGGAAGGAGGGATGAGGGAGCAAATCCGGTGATACAAGATGCAAAGCTACGATGCATATATGTATGTTTTCGAGGAGCAAATCCGGTGATACAAGATGCAAAGCTACGATGCATATATGTATGTTTTCGAGAAAGACTAAGGTTGATGGCCGGAAGAAACTAACGGAGGGAGGATGGGCTGCCAGTGGCTAGCAGCCTAGCTCCTCCTTGTCATCACTTAGGCCCAGTTTAGTTGCCGAAAATTTTGGCAAAACGATACTGTAGCATTTTCGTTGTTATTTGGCAATTAGTGTCCAATCATAGTCTAATTAGGCTTAAAAGATTCGTCTCGTGGATTTCGTCTAAACTGTGTAATTAGTTTTATTTTTTATTTATATTTAATGCTTCATGCATGCGTCCAAAGATTTGATGTGATGAGGAATCTTGAAAAATTTGGCGTTTTGGAGGGGAACTAAATAGGCCCTTACCGGATTGCTAGAGCTCCAATCATTGGGTGGTAATTCCTTGGCGACCAGGGCTTCGCCCGTTGCCTTGTTCACTAGAGTAAATGCCCTTTGGTACTCGTCATCGGTCACGTTCCCGGTGGCGTAGTAGTCCCTGAACCATTGCTGCACCACGACCACGAATAAATAGAAAAAACCATTAGTTATAAATGCTACATATACAAAAAAAAATATAAATGAGAGTTTATAGCTATCTTGCCTGTGACTTGTCGGTGTGGTCGGCAGGAGCAAGAACGACCCTGTTATTGCGAATGGACACGTTCAAGCCGGTATCCTCCTTGCAGAATATCTTCACCAGCTGCGCCATGGATGACCAACCTTTGCTAGGTAAACATGGGGTAGGTGCTGTGGATTTCAACTGAGGGCCCTCCAACCTCCCCATAAATATTGATGGGATCAGAACGGGTCGCATCGGATGCCATATGGACAAGCGTGCAATGCCATTATAGGCCCTGTTCGACTTACCTTATAATCCATACTATTCAGCTTGTTTTTTCAGCTGGAACAGTGTTTTTCTCTCACAGCAATTCAGCCAGAACAGTATTTTCCAGTCAATTCAGCCAAGTTTCAGCAAGCCGAACAGGGCCATAGTTAATATAAAC